GAAGGGAGGGCTAGGAATGGGGAAAAAATAAGAACCAAGATGCATCATGTAAAGGTACAACTTCCCAATGAGAAATGTAATTGTGTTGTATACCTAAAATGTACCAATAAAAGAATTTAATTTAAAAAAAAAGAAATTGGTAGGCAGGATATATGTAAAGAATTCCAGATTCAAGAAAAGAAAACAAACAACCCGATTCAAAAATGGCCAAAGCATTTGAATAGACATCTCCAAAGAAGATATACAAATGACCAATAAACACATGAAAAAAATTTTAATATCATTAATCACTAGGAAAATGCAAGTCAAAACCACAAACAGACACTACTTCACATTTACTAGGCTATTTATAAAAAATATATAATATATATTAACCATAAATGAACAAGTGTTGGCAAGAATATACAGATAATGGAACCCTCGTGAATTCGTAATAAAAACATGAAGTGATGAGCTGCTACGGAAAGTGGTACAAAATTCCTCAAAAATGTAAACACAGAGTTGCTGTATAATCAAGAAACTCTGCTTCTAGGTATATAACCAAAAGAAGTGAAAGCAGGCACTTGGATACTGACACTCCTATGTATATTACTCCTGACAGCTGAAAGGGGGAAGAGCCCAAATGATGTTCATGGATGACTGCATAAACAAAAATGTAAATATAAACAAATGTGGGATACTCTACATACCATGATGTATTATTCAGTCTTACAAAGACAGAAATTTTAGAAAGAAAAAGGAAATTTTTGTCATACACTACAACATAGATAAACCCTAAACACATTAAGCTAAATAAAATCAATCACAAAAGAACAAATATTGTATGATTCCATTTATATGAGGTATCTAAAGTGGTCAAATTCATAGAGACTGAAAGAAAAGCCCTTGGTTGCCAAGGGCTGAAGGGAGAAGGAAATGGGAAGTCTGAGTATGAGTGCAGGCTTTCTGTTCTGCAAAATGAAGAGAGTTCTGGAGACGGATGGCAGCAATGGTTTCACAACACTGTGAACGTATTTAATGCTACAAAACTGTACACTTAAATAAGTGAAGATGGTAAATTTAATTAATGTGTGTATATTTTACTACACTTTTTAATGCTATGTAACTATCCAGGGAATAAGCTATAGAATTCCAAAGAGAAAGGGATAATAAGAGATTAGGGAAAGGGATTTATTTTAGGTTGAATCTTGAAGGAATTTTATAGGAAATAATAGCAAAGAGACTCTAGGCGAGCCTATGGCACACGTGCTGCACTGGGCTGTTTGCATCATTGAAAGATCTAAAAGGTTCACCATCGCTAGCCTCTGAGAAGATTATGATCAAAGACAGAACTATACAAATGCATGGCAGACTGGAGACTTTATAACAAATACAGCAGAATATCCACAATATAAAATACAACTAAAAAATAAAATAAAATAAAATATAACTGATATAAAACATGATAGGCAGTTATTTGCTGGATGAGTCCAGGAAAATAGTTTCAGTACAGATAAGGATCTTAAATATGTATAAAGAATGTTGACTGAATAATGACGCCAACAGAAACTCTTGACAAGCTGAAGAAAGACAGTAAATTGAGAAATCTGGATCTTGGAACTGCAATGATGCGAACAGAAGATTAGAGGCTGCTGAGGTGGAAAGGAAGCACATGATAGGTTCCTGAAATGGAGAAGTAGCTGTACATAGAAAAGAAAGGGAGGCTTAGGGTATTTCAGAGAAAGAAGCAATGAAATTACTGTCCTACCAAAAATATTTTAGATCCATTCTCTCTAGAAGCCATGGGTTAATTCAGGCCTCTACTCTCTCTGGAAACCATTTCAAGAGCTTGCTGATAGGATGCCTGCTTGAAAGGCCTTGTAATGTATGCTGATCCTCCCTGGTGGAACAGTGGGTTCCCTTCCCACTTAGTTATAGTAAACCCCTAACCTGCTTGACCCACAGGTCTCTTCTGCCCAGCCCCTGCCCACCCTTACACTGCAGAGGCCTCCAGCCACCGATCCCTTCCAGCTTTCCAGCACACACGGATGGCTCTTGCCTACTCTGGACATGTCACCTGCTAAGACTTCTACCTGGGTCTCTATACCCCTAGATCTTCACATGACCTCTTATCTCTCAGATTCCAATTCAAATGACAAATGATCCAAAGGCCTTTTCTAGCCATCCTATCTAAACTAGGACTCCCCTAATGTCTTCTGTGATAGCCCTCAAGTTCACAGCTCTAACCTCAATCTGACATTTTAAAACTCCCTTGTGCCCATATCTTCAATCAAGAGACCACCTTCTTCATAAGCACAGGCTTGCCCCAAGCAATGTTTCTGGCACATGGAAGTACCCAGTAAATATATGTAAACCAACTTAGTGTAACAGGTATCAGCCCTGAGTATGTATAGGATTGAGGGAAAGAAAAGACGAAAGTGGACTCCAACGCTTGTAATTCAGACTACGGAAGAAGGAGAGTATGATAGAGAGAGACACAAACAATGACAAAAGTCTCTGGACAATGATAAGCCGCAAGTCCCGCCAAATATCCATGTGAACACTGTCAAATGGAGGAATTAGGAAAAAAAAAAATCAAACAACAGAAACTTGAAGGTAAACTTTACTTCAACAACAGCTCCCTCCAATATGGGGGGGGTGAGGGGAAGCTGGATGGAAGGATAATTACATACCAAATTTTCTATAGATAGCTGAAACTGTTTAATTTCACGAAGGGTCTCATTATCTCTTTTCACTTCATTCACATATTGTGCCAAATCCTAAAGAACAAAAAGAAGGGTACAAAAAGAAGGCACACTAAGATTAGAGATGCAAACTGCTTTGAAAGAAAACACATCATTAGTTCCATCAGTGGTAAAACTAACTACCATAACTTTTCAAGGACAATAAAATGAACACCCAATCAATCAAAGCTGCATCTCAAAAACAATTTTAAAGTGTCCCAGCTGGGAAGACTAAAGAGTTGTCATTTGCCACACCCCTGAGCAGAGTATGTTGCTGCCTTAAGAAACAAAAACAAAATACATTGTTGTGCAGAGTAACAAGGAAACTAGGTCAGCAGAATGTGAATTCCAAGTAAGTTCATACCTGACCTTGAAAGAATTATATTTCTACATACAGGTTGGACTATAGGCAATAATGAAGGATCATCAGGGCGACAAAAGGTAACTAAATTTTATACAATGAACCTAACCAAGACTGGTATCTGCAACTAGCTACTGTCTTATTAGTTCCTAAGAACATTCGGTCAAGGGGGCTGGTTCAATTTTAAAGAATTAATAAAGGAGAAATGAAGGAGAGGTGAAGAACTAAATAACACAAAAACTGAATTAAAATGAAGAAAAAAATGCTGGCCATGTTTCTCCATGTGCCTTCCATTTTAAAATGCCTTTTCTTATATTTGAGGAAATATAAATGTAACTAGCTATTTTTATTACATGTGCTCCAGATTTTCCTGATTTCTGAGCTCTTTTTCTTTTTTCTCTACCTTCTTAAATTCATCTGCAACAGCAGGAACACAATTCTACAAAAACACTTCCTAACTCTGTCCTAAACAGAAGTTTGAGTTTTCGCAGGATGTATCCAAAAACAGCTTCATCACAGGTTAAGAAATTTCATATGATCATTGTTGAAATAATAAATAATTGTGTGATGTTTTCTGGTAGTGATATTAAAATCAGCTTAACCAGAAAACTAACACTGACACCGAGGAGATAATTAAACATTTCTCTGAGCAAAGTCACATTGTTACTTTGTTTCTAAGAACAAATATTTGCTTTTGTTTTAAATTACAGGCAAATATTTTTTTCAAAGTCATGTTGATTCAGCACTATGTGGAATTGGCATTTTACATATTTTACAGTATGTTCAAAATGTCTTTTATCTTCCTGTTTCTTGATTTTCAGATTTCAATGAAAATATAAATCCAAGCTGAAACTGACTCATATGATGTACAGACACTATCCACATGGGTGAACCAGCTAGACAAGCTCATCTGAGGAAAATGAGCCACACAGGTATTTCTGAAGCCAATAGCTGACCTAATGCTTACACAAACCAGCAGTTTTCTATCACTAACTTTCAAAAAATGTGAAATAAAAGCAGTTATCCCATCACTCCTGGTAGTTATAAAAGTTGGAAAACTTGAACAAAAGTTATTTTAATACACCTCTCGGCTTTATGTGCTTTTGTCCTACAATTAAATCCATGCAAGAATATCTATGTCAGTAAAAGTTATACTATTCTCTCCATCAAAAATAAATGTGTAATATATTAGCATGGTGTATAAACATATTAACAATTATAATTCTGCTGTTTGTAAGCAAGAATAAAATAATACAAATAAGGTACTGATCCATTTGCCTTACCTTCATTGCATCAAGAGCCAGTTTCAGATTAGCCTTCTCAGCAGGATCTGTAGTATGCTTAACCAGCTCCTGTGTGAGAGAAACAGGTTAGTACTGTGCTACTTTCATCAAATCAAAACTAACACATAAGACATACAACAGTTTTTAGGCAGGTGTGATAGCACAAGGCTATCATCTCAGCATTCTGGGAAGCTGAGGCAGGAGGAGGATAGAAAGTTCAAGCCCAGTCTGGGCAACTTAGCTGGACCCTCTCTCAAAATAAACAATAAAAAGTAACAGTGAAAAGGGTTGAGGATGTGAAGGCCCTGGGTTCAATCCCCAGTATCACCAAATGCATGAATGTATGAATGAATTAATGAACAAATGAATGACCCTTATTCTCATACTCTCAACAATAGCATAAATTTAACAAAACTAGTTCTATTCTCATCAAAAACATCGAACTGCAAGAAGACAAATCAGGCACCAAAAGAACATGCAACATACTTGGAAGCATCTTCCTTTCAAGAACAAATCTGATTTCAATGCTCCACTTTTATCCTAAAGCTGTGTCCCAATTGTTACGAAAAATCTCCTAATTGCTAATTGAACTGATCCCTTTCACACACTGTCACATAGGCATTCTCTGTAGCTTTTGATTCTGATGACCACATTTCCCTTATTATAGGGACATCAGGATGCTTTATTGTCACTGCAGTTATTGTTTCTTTACAATTCCTAAATTTCTGCCTGTCCTTTAGTCTTTCATAGTTTCTTCTTTATCTGCACCACAGAAAGTTATAATTGCCTAGATTTTCACCCTGTGCTCTCTCATTCTTAGCTTACATACTTCACAAATCCTATTGCAACAATTGTCATGATGTCAACTGTCACCTAATGAGGTGATCCAATGTATGTGTTCACCAGAACTCATGCTTAAGTCCCTGACTCATACATCCAACTAAATAGTTCTACTTGGATATCTCTAGGATCCTCAAATCCAACATGCCCATAACTGAATACATATTCATTCTTATTCCCATTTCTGTTTAACTGAATAATGGCATTACCGTCAGTATAGTCATTTAAGCTGAAACCTGAAATGTATCCCAAACTCCACACTCCCTCACTGTGTCCTGCTGATATTAACTTTTATCCTGGCCTCTGGAAACCATCCTCCCTGCCAGTGCCTAGGTTCAGCTCCTTTCTCATTTTCAAATAGGTTATTATAATAGTCTTCTGACTGGACTTCTATTCACTCTACTGGCATTAGAGTTAAATCGGAGCTATCTCTACCCTATTCAGACTTCTGGGATGCTCAGGCTCCTTCTGATCTGAGTTCTGGACACCTCTCAACTTCTCTCTCTCCAGTCCACCCAAAGAACCTATATTCTATTCATACTAAATTATACTCACAAAACATGTGTTGATCTCTAACTGCCATGAGAAATCTCATTTTCTCTCTTAAGAAAGTTCTTTTCTGATCTACCTATCAAACTCTTATTCTTTCAAAGATCAAATCAAGAATTACTCCTCTGGGAAGCTGAGGATTCTACAGAGTCCCCAGCCTCCTTAGGGATAATTAAAGAGACTTTCATTTGTATCATTTATGTCTCTTCTATGTACCTATCACGTTGTATTACACTTGACAAATTAATTTCATTTTTCCCTTAATGATGAGCTTTATCAGTGTAAGACTTGTCATACTGTGTCTACTACTGTGTTTAGCACAGGGGGACCCATCGAAAAAAATCTCTAATAAATTCAACGCCAGTACTGTTTTCTGTTTTAAGCAGGACCAACAGATCGAGAACCTGCTAAGTGTAAAAATCTGTCAAAATTATGTTCATTTCTATTTTTACATTTACTTTATTAAATAAAAATAATAAATTATTCTTAAAGTTTCCTACACATCACTACAAAATATTCTAATTTTTACAAACTTGTGATTTCAAATCATTAAGCATTTTAAAAGTGATTTCCCCATGAAAGTATAATAGTATATAGAAAATGTGCAAATTTACAACCAGATTTGTTCAACAAATGTCTAGACACCAGACAAATAAGTTTCATTCTACACTATTCTGAGACAGGATATTTCTAGCATTCTATCTATATGTAGTAGCCGAAATAGAACTTTTCATAATTTAAAAACTCATCAAGGAATTAAACATAATCTTAAAATTTAAAATACAAAACAAACCAAGAGAAATTAGAGGGGAAGTTCAATGAGCTTTTAAAAAGGATAGATGTATTTTATAGTTTTATAAGTCTTGTAAAAACCTCTAAGGACCAAAATAGACAGTCCTTTAAAATTGTATCTTCTAAATTCTTCAATCAATATTTGACTACACTTAAGTTACACAATAAATTATTATCTAATTTTGGGCATGTTTTTAGTTCTATAACGCCTTGGAAACATTGCTGGAGTCTTCCTTATTATTTTTTCATAAAATCCAATTTGATTAAATTGCTTTGAGTTTAGGCCTCATAAATGTTTTAATGCATTTTTAAGGAATAATCAGCGTTTGAATTTTTCTGATTTCTCAGTAGAACAAAAATAGAGATGACTAATAATTTTGTGGCTACAGTTCAAGAAATTTAATATACAAGATGTACAAAGCACAGCAGACTCAAAATTATATTTCACATACAGGTAGTAGATCTTTTTAAAATGACATTTCACAAGCATCAGCAGAGTTGACAGACTAATACAGTAAGACATTGCTTTGAAGCAGAACTAATGAGTCTCCTGGTATAGCTATCAAATTAAATTTATAAGACTCTCCACCCTCATTAGAGAACTATCCGTGGAAACCATAAGCTTTGTGGGTTATATATATAACAAGAATCACTTCAAAATAAATGTAGTCTTATTATAATTTAGCACAGTAGAAAGCAATACAGAATGTGACACAATCCTTTTGCTTTGTTATAAGGCAAAGGGTCTAAATGACTAATCTGCCCAAATTCGTACACACTGAAACACTAATAAATGATTACTACTCACCACAGAAAACTTGGTTGAAGGAATATTTTTGTTTTGCCTTACTTTTTCATTTGTATTCTTTAGCCAATCTCATTTGAGAAACACAAAATGGACTTTGAGGCAAATACAGAATCATCTTTGCGAAGAGGAAGAAAAAATGTATGGCTATTTTGGATATTTCCACATAGCCATATGAAAATTCAAAATTATAAGATGATAGGACTGAAAACAGTATGGAGTTTTAGGACAGCACAGTTGATGCTTCACTCGTATTTTCTTGTACAAGTAAATGAACAGTAAACAAACAGCTTTATGTTACATACCTGGAGAAGAAGATGATACTTTAAAACACGTTGCATAGGAACCACAAGCAAATCTCGAAGTGTAAATTTCCCATTATTTGCTCTTTTGGAACATTCCTAACGACATGTTTTTAAAAATGTTTTGTTAGTTTTCTCAAGAGAAGTAATAAACATTAAAAGATGCCAAGTCCACAAGCAGAACTACTTTCAAAAAATATTTTTCTCTTTTCCTTAATAATCTTTCTTTCTAAATAATAGTGTTTTTTATGTTTAAAAAAAAAATCTCATAGTATTTCAAATCAAACAGAACTATTTTAGGAATGAAAGTTATTTTCTCTCATGCAAAATCTTGGCTCTGTGGGGTCTTCCTCAGCTGACTCTCACAAGTCTACCTTCCACCAAGCCCCCAAGAGGACCTACAGACCAGATACCAAGGAAAAGCCCTTACTCAGCAAACTCACCATGAATTCACACTTTGGTTTGTTCAGTTCTGTTCAAGTGCCTTGTGCTTTTTCCTGCCTCTGGCAAAACTCACCATCTTCTTTCAGAACTATACTTTCAGGCCTTTAGAAATAATCTCAATTAAAACTATGTTCTTGTGCTCCTCTCTCTGTGTCTGTCTCTCTCCCCCTTCCTCCTCCCTGTTCCTCTCTATCTGTATGCCTTTGGGGTTATTTAGTTTTTGTTAGACATAATATCTTTCCAAGAATATCTGTTTAAGTCTTTAACATGTCCCTGAAGTCTCCAAGAATCTAGTGTTTAATAAATATTTACTGAACTGAATAAAAATAGAATAGTTGAGTATGAAAACTTGCTAAACTATAAGCCTAATACTATAATCATGCTTTTAAAACTCTCAGATTTTAAACATCATGTTCTTCTTTAAAATTTACTTTAAAATAGTATTGATTTCTTCATTCTTTTGACAAGTAACTGTGTCTTTGAGGAAAGTACTTTTAAGTGTCAAAGCACGAGGTGTTTGTTTGTTGTTTTTTCTCTGATACAGGGATTGAACTCAGGACCTTGCATTTGTGAGGCAGGTGCAGTGCCACTGAGCTAAATCCGAGGCCCAAAGCATGAGTTTTAAACATTTGGCAACTCTTGGCTGTATTATCCTGGACAAGTCACTTTTCTGATTTTCCTACTTCCCATATATATTTGGTATTATTCAACAATAAAGTGTCACTAAAAAATTATTAGTGAGGAACTTCACAAGTCAAAAATCCTTACACAATTGCATATCCCAGACTAAAGAACTTTTCCAGTTCATGGGAAGAAGTGTGCTTAAGAAAATACTCTTTTTCTCATGAATTTGTTTTCCTTGGCTTATACTTAGCTTTTCTGGCACCTTGAAAGATATATTATCAGGGGCTACAAAGAAAACATCATTAAGTCTAATGAACATAATGACTTACTGAGCATGTAAGACTGTAGATCTCAGGCAAAATGAACTAAGGAGCCATGCTGACATTTTACCTTGTATCTTATCAATTATTGCACTTCACTGGAAGGAAAACTTTTTCAACTGATTTCTTGCTTCTACAGATTGCAGAGAGTTGTGGATCATGGGTCTCAATAGGAAGTTAAACTGTCATTATCATAATAAGTGGGTCTTGTCTCCTCCACTGCATTTTTAAGCTTCTTGGAATAAAAGTTATAGCTTATACTTCTTGTAGTATTACATCCCAACACAGTGCCAGGAATAGAAAGTCATACACTTTAAAATAACTATGTTATAGAAGTTAATTTAAAATTGTTGGGGAAAGATAACAGTCCCTTTTCTAAGATCTAATTCAGGAAGCAAAGAAACCAACATCACTCCAATAAGCTACAACTGGGGGCTGGAGTGTGAAGTGTAAAATCCTTATTGGCACTGAAAGTGAATAAAGGGTAGAAATAATTCTTCTGAAACATCCACTCATTCACCTACCTAAAATGAGGTGGTCTCAAGTCCACAGGCCAAGATAAGGAAACTCTATAACTCTCTCACCAACCATAAAACAAAAGGCGGAAGAAGGCAGCTTTCCCTCCATAATGGGGCTTAAAGCACATAGCTCCCACAGAGTATCTGTTGAAATGCTACAGTATCTGACTAACACAGTACTTTCAAGCTAGGCCCGTGGGCAAAAATGGGGCCTTTAGGCTGAGGAAAGAACCTTACCCGGCACCTGACCCTGAGTTTCAATCTCAGCCTGAGGCCGTTTCTTCCCCAAACACCAATAGTGACTACACAAACTGTGCCTGGAGTCCCAGAGTGTGGTCCCTGAGCAGAACTTTGGCACTGACACTGACAGAAGGAAGAATGGACATTCAATAAGGCTGAGAAAGCAGTATAATGTTGGTCTGATTGACAAGTTGCTCTCTCTCCTATCTTGAACCACAATGGTATAGCTTTATTTTGGAAAAACTACTACAGTAGTTGTTCTACTAGGAACTAGTTCTATGAATTGTAAAATGTTATTATATCTTAATTTGAATCAAGGCATTTAATAAGTCTCTATTTTCTAAAGAGAAGCAGGAATCCTTTTTGCTAACAGTATTGAGAGGATGTCATTTACTTGTGACTAACCTATCTCCAGCCTTAAGGTTAGTATCATCAAGAAATAGTAAAAGGTAAGGGAAAAAGATCCAGGATGTAGATTTAGTACAGTCACTTGGTGACCTGCTAATATTCAAACTTCCTAAGCAACAGCTTCCCTCTATAGGATCTGGGAGTTTCGATGCCATGTCAAAACAATATACACATATCAAAACAATAAAAAGATTCTGATTTGAAAATTATCTACCTCTTCTTCCCCTGTTCATCAACTGACTTCACTAATAAACTAAACAAAAAGTAAGAAAGGGGCTATTAAAAAGTCAAAAAAGCCATACAGAGTCATTTAAGAGCTGACCTCATTTCTCTACCTGAAATTTAAGAAAATCCAAAAACAGTAATAATACATTTAAGGTGATAATTTATATCAAATTCATTTTTCCAGTTTTCATTGAAAGCATAAACTCTTTGGTAGAAAAACATATATGATGTAAAAAAGCTATGACTTAACACGTTTTCAGCTTTGTTTTCTAGTGTGAGTATGTGCTCTATACTGATCAACTTGCTGTATCTCAAACGGTCCTCACTGGTCTGGTCATAATTCCTCCAGAATGCCTCATGCAGTCTCATCTACCAGAGCTCACCCTGTTCTTCTGTGACCTAATTCAAACCCACCTTTCAGACAAATCTCCCACAGCCATCTCCCACTCTGAAGTGACCCCGCCATCGTATTTGCGGAGCCATCGCATCAGAGCTCATCACACGTGCTCAGGCTTACCATTCTCGTGTCTGTCCTTTCTTCCTTCTTATGGGCAACATCTATGCCTTTTGTATACATCTGCCTCTAAATGCTTTGTATTTTTATACATCTATCCCTAAATGTCTTATGTTTTCATAAACATTTTAAATCCACTTACACAGCCTCTTACCCATCCTTCAGCTTAAGGTAGTAGCCCTGTGTAAATTACTCAAAATCTCTGAACTTCAGCTTTCTCATAAATAAGATGAGAAATTTAACTCTATTATCTCTCATAAAGTCTTGTAAGGAGACATTATGTATAAAATGCAAGGATATAAACATTAAATTCTGCTACTGTTACTACCATATTGTTATTTTACAGAGCTCTTAAAATATTTTATAAAAATGACAAAATTATATTTAGAATACAGACACAAATGTACTGCTGTATTAATTAGGAAGAGAACTATATGTTGCTTTTTAAATTTATTTTACATATATCAGGAATAAAAATAAACAATCACCTCTAATTTTAGTTTCACGTCTTCTTTTGTCTTAGAAATACAGTCTAAGTTAGAGATGGCCAACTCCACTCCACTGCAATACTGTCCATAAATAACCAATCTGAAATGAAAAAGAGAGAGGAAGAAATCTGTAAGACCAAAAGCAAGAAGCAGTGGAAGAGAAGAGAGGCAGACTTTTCACCTCTTTTAAACCATAATTAGAGATAATCAAAGCAGCAGAAGTTCTTTGTGAACACACCACACATACAATCACAAAATGAGGGTCACTCGTATATCTAATCATAAAAAGCCTCATACTTAGTTCCAAATTTGATTAGGATTAACTCAATGTACATTTTTATAATAGGTAGATGTTATAATCTGGCATGATGACTGTTAATGTTATTTGGGTATGTAAGGGTGTATCTCAAAAAAATTCTTAACTCATTATAGGTAAACTTATTACTGTTTACTCAGAAGTTTTATTTTCTATGACAATTTTATTGCAATCACTATGACTCCACTCATTAATAAACTTCCTGCTCCATACCCGTTCTTAATTATGAAGCATACATCATCTGAAAATTGGGAATGAGAGGCTTGAACTCTGCAGCCTGGAAGATAACTCATACTGCACAGACCCTGAGCCCACTCAAGGAACAATATCCCTGTAATGCAGATTTTTTGCAAAGAGGTTATGTGTTTATTGTTTCTTTTAACTCTCTACTGGAGAAAACTACTAATAAATCATTAATATTTACCTAACAGGTGACACTGAGCAATGCATTAGCCACATCTTAGTACTAGGAGTTACGCTGCTTGATTTAAATTGAGAGAATGTTATATTTTAAGCAAAATTTCTTGATACTCCAAATTCATATGATTCACTCAGGAGATCTTTTTGTAACTTAGTAAGGGAAACTGACTTTGACACTGAATCTAAGGCACCACAATGGAGAATAACAAAATATCAGAGCTGTAGAAAGCATTAGGTACCAGCTAATCTACTCTCAATACTTACAAATGAGGAAGAGGAGATTCAGAGTGTTAAAATGACAAGCCACCACTCAGTAGTGACAGGCCTGTGAATCTCAGCCTCTTGATTTGCGTAAGTCTGGGCACTACTCTGAATCCTTTTCTTTTTTAAATCACATAGAAAGCTCAAACTACCACCCTGAGATTAACTGTCCTATGTTCTAATGCCCAGGTGGTATTGCAATAAACAGTAGTAAGAGCTATTTATTTTAATACTAATCTTCATACAATTCCAAACTAATACACACAAAATTCCAAATTCAAAAGTTACCTTTCCTTGTAGTTAATAAAAACTTGATACAAGTTCTGGTCATTTTTATTTACAATGGAATCATGAATCTCTTGCATTAAGTTCCGATGAACTTTTACAAGTTCCTTAGAAAAGAAAAAAATGTGAAATAAAAGGTAAGAATCAAGCAAAATGTATACTCCAAACCCAGAACCCCTGTACTGTCAGACCTGTCACTCAAACATAGAAACTTGCTACCATTAAAGGAGGGAAAGGGAAGGAACCAGGAGGAAGAAGGAGCTGAGAAGGGGGAGAGGAAGGGGAAGAAACAGAGAAAAGAAGAAGGTAAAGGAGGGAAAAGCAAAGGGGAAGGGAGTTAGGAAGAGAAGAAAAGCAAGACATGTGCATGGGAAACAGCAATTTCAGATCTGACTAAAAATGTCAGTGTCCTGTGGGGAGAAAAATTATCTCACTAGTTATTAAAGGATAATTTATTCTTTGTATGAAAATATGTACAGCTTTCTCACTTTAAAATCACTGTAAATTTCTAAATAAGACTATCTAAGTGCTTAATGTTTTATCGACAGAATAAAATAATGTTTCATGTCCTTGGGACATAGAAATGTAGGCTTGTACTTTGGTCAATTAGTGGTGTCCTAGTGCTAAGCTAACAATAATCAGACTAAATTACTTAAAACCAGACAACTAATGGCATAAATAAGAAGCAAACAAATTGTATGGACAGTTTACTAGAGCAACTCAAAAGTCAAAATTTCACATTTGTTCTCATAAGGAAGTCGTTTTCAGCAGCCAATAAATACATTTCAGCAACAGGAAGTGAGGAAATTTGAAACAAGGTCCAGGTCCCCATTATCTCTTCCTATGTGTCTTGGAGTATGCAGTGACACCACAGTATACTCTTTCCTTACTAAGGTGGAAATTGAACGTGAATATATTTATTGGTTCTGTCATTTTGTTGAGGAGCATGGGAAAGCCATAAAAATACAGGCTATCAAGTGAGTTGTTGGTTATAGTGATCATACTTAAGTAGTTTAAGACCTCTATTTCCTAGATTGGGCACTTTGTTTTATGCTAAACTTTCATCTAATATTGTAAGCATTTCATGCACTTAAGTGATAAATCAGTGAGAATGTCTTATATGAGCAATCAATACGAACATATGAACAAAAACAACATGCCATAGCTTATCATCTGGTGCTCAGTAACACAGAACAAAACAAAATCAAAATATAAAGGACTTTCTCAGGAGATAAAAAAAAGCCTGTAGATAAAAGTGAATGTGTGTGTGCGCATGCCTGTGTGTGTAAACCAAATTCTAAAGGTCTCAGAACTTGAATCTTGAGTAGCAGTACCTATTTGAGACAGTATTTAGGTTGACTGTACATTTCTGGGCCAATATACTTTGAGGATTGTAAGATGGTCAGGTGACCTGGAACTCAAAATATTTACATAAATGTGAAGAAAACTCCTCCTCCCATTTTACCATTAAAATAGTCTAATAAATTATAGGGAAGTAGAGTTTTGGAAATAAGAGTTAAGGATGACATAACTGGAAGCAGAAAGCACCAAAAGGGAGAGGAAGTGGAGGAGTGAAGAGAACTAAAGTCCTGGGCCCCAAAGAAGGAACAGAGGGGGCGGGGATTTAGCTCAGTGGTTTCACTGCCTGCTGGGCAAGCCCAAGGACCCAAGTTCAATCCCCAGTACCAAAAAAAAAAAAAACAAAACAAAGAAGGAACAGAGCAGGGAGGTGGACAGAAAAGGACCCCCTAGAAGAGAAACCCAAAGTAGCAGCCAGGACTACTTATTGAATTGAGTCTACCTCTTCATTACAAAAGCCAAAGATAACACATGAATCTAATCCATTTATGTTCTGCAAGCATTTTGATTGGCTTTTTGGCTGAAGACATAACATATCAGTTTTTCAAGAGAGTAATAATACAAGAACTTGAGAAGCAAAAGCAGGGTCAAAATTCATCTGGAACCCACTAAGAAAGTGAGGATTTTATGGATGTGCCACACAAATTTTAACTACCCTATTTTTACTTACAGGAATGTTGATGAATACTGAGTCAAATTCTGCTGGTGTCAAAAATCTTTTTAGTGGTCCCATGAAATACTATCAGGAGAGAAGAAGGAAATGATAATTAAGCATAACTTGCCCTAATCTGTACAATGTTTTTTGATCAACAAACAACAAATATTTTTGAAAGTCAACTGCTTATCAGCATTATAAATTCAAAACAAGTAGAAACTATTTTCACTGTGGAATTTTATACTTGACCAAAGATACCAAGACATGAATATATAGAAGCTAAAACATTTAAAGTATAAAATAAAAGGTTTATACTTTCCTTCTGAAAGTAAAAAAAAGAACACTATTGGCCAAGTTGGTAATCAACAGTAACATTTAGAAATAGACTTGAGGACTTCTATAAAAATGCTTTGTGGAGATTATAGATCCTTGAGATCAATAATCTGTCTATATAATTTACACATCATTTCTCTTCATTCTTTTAATTTTTTTGGTTGGTGGCCAACCATACCACTTTCATTTATGGCCATCTCAGTATCTGTGCAGATGATCCTTCCACTCTGGCCTCCAATCATCCTTGACCTCCATTTCCTTGACCTCCAATCATCTTGTGCTCCAGCCTCACTCAACCCCCAAATCCCAGTCATGCTTCAAGACTTTACAAACAACTGCATATGCTTCACAGATGAGATCTTAAACTACCACCTCAGACCATCTTACTCCTCCAGTACAGCACACTCCTTCAAGGGATTCTTTAGCCACTGACCCTCCATTCGCCCTCAGTTCTCTCCCTACCCAGGTTACATTCCATGAACCATCATTGAAATTGCTTCCCTGCACACACACATTTACCCTTTGTCATCTTCCACTGTGCTTTCCTAGAAAACCAAATCCTGGGCTGGGGATGTAGCTCAGTGGTGCCGCTGCTTGCCTTGCAAGCGCAAGGTCCTGAGTTCGACCCCCCCCACCCCCCCACCCTGGTACCAAAAAAAGAAAACCAAATCCTGGTTAAATTTACCTTGCCACCTATTTTGTATTTGTGTCTAAGAAGTTAAGCATGGGCTACACTGATAGTCTAATTTTAAATATGACAACAAATCTCACATTTCCCTAGTCAATTTGCTGTCCCATTCCCCTAAACAATTCTTCCACATCTGATCTCTTTTCCTAAACCAAAAACATTTTCTTCTGGTTGTCATTTTCCTAACCACTAAATGTAAGAGTCAGCAGGGGTGGCCTCAAATCTCTTCCCTTAAAATGTGCATTCCCTGGGGTGAACTCATTTAGTCACATGGCCTTAAATTCCATTATGCAACTATAAAAATCCAATCTCTATGTCAATTCAACTTTTCCCATTGATGCCAGACTCATGCGTCTATCTTCCTTAATAGATCCCACTGTAAGTCTAAAAGGTATTTCAAGTTTAATATGCCCACATTCATGATTCCCAAACCTGTCCTTCCCCATTTCATAACCATCTTCACCATTCATGGAGTTGCTCATGCCAAAACATAGCAGTCACCCTTGATTCTTCTGTTTTATTCAAATCTTTTACCTAATCCATCATTAAATCCAGTTGGCTCTACTTTTAAAACTTATTTAGAATCTGACCACCCCTTGCCATCTCTATCAATACCACTACTTCCTGTCATCTTATTACAAAATCCTAACTGTCCTCCCAGTTCCCATCCTTGCCTCACAAGAGCCAAATGAAATGCTAAAGATTTAAGTACCATCATGTCATGTCTGCTCAAAATGCAGTAGCCTTTATCCCAACATGACCTGGTGGCCCACCAGCTCTCTGACATCACACTCACTTCCCTTCACTGAGGCACAAGCTGAACACTCTGCCATCTGAGGATGCTTCTTCCAGAATGATCTTCACTGGGATATGTACATGGCTTGCACCCTAAATTCATTCAGCTGTCAGCTTCAACATCATTTTATCACAGAAACTTTCCATTACCACCATCTACGAAATGCCTCCAGCCACTCCCCATGCCCTCTACCCCTTCCCCTGATTTATTTTTCTCCAGAGATCTCACCACACCATTGGGCACACTTATCTGCCTCCATACTAAACCCTCCCATGATGAGACAGGAAGGGCCATGAGATCCACGGTTTTGTTTACTGTTATATATTCAGTTCCTAAAATAGTGCCAGTCAGTTATCATCAATAAATACTAGTGGAATGAATAAATTTTCTTTGAGATCTTTTTCTTTTTTGCAAAAGAGCTTTATTAAGATATATGATTCACATTAAATACAATTCACTCCATTTAAAGTGTATAATCCAATGGTTCTTAGTACATTCATAGCGTTGTGCAACCATTACTACAATCAATTCTAGAATATTTTTACCATATAAAAAAATTCCTTAACCTTTAGTAGTCATCCCCATTTCTCCTTCTCCACTCCACCTATCCTCTACCCACACACACTCATTTTAGCACCAACCCTTGGCCTCAGAAAATCACTTGTCTACTTTCTGTTGCTATATATTTCCTCACTCTGAATGCAGTTGTTTTTTAATATTCTTCCTGTCTAACTGCAATTATATATACTTTATCTGACATATATCAGACATATATCCTTTATCCATCACCACCACAACCACCTGAGCCGCTGGTAACCATTATTCTATTCTCTATTGTTATGGATTCAATGTTTTTAGATTCAAACTATGAATGACATTATGGGCAGTTATCTTTCTGTACCTGGCTTTAAATGCAAAGTTCTACTGCAAGTTAGAATGTGCACAGACACACACTCAGCAGAAACAGGGAACCTAACCTATTAACTACTTAACACAGTATTTTGGCATCAATACCTGATGACTTACTTTTTCTATTGACTCCAAAGTTTCTGTATATTTTTCTTCTGTCTGTTTAATTTCTGCTAGGCAACAACTCCGTATATCATTTTCTGGACATTTCTGCAGATAGAATGATAAAAATAGAAGTATTTAATCAAATTCATATATTAATCTGTCTAGTAGTAGGAGAAATCAAAATTATTATTGATTTTAACTTTCCATTCTAATACAAACATATTCCAAAAAACATACTTAACTGTATTTGTGACCTATGTGTGCTGTAATTTTTAAAATCTGAACAGCATAACTGAAAAAATGTTAAGTAGTTAAAAATAAGCATCTGAGAGACATTGTGTTCAAGTTAAAACATCTCTTTTATTTAAAATGTTAATGAATTGGGAAATTCAAATTGTGTAAGAATTTCCTTAATATACAGCATATTTCCCATGTGCTACAGAATTAACTGCAATACTGTTAAAAAGATAAGTGAGAATCTTAAGAAAATTTTTTTCAAACACTAACATCTTAGCACTTGGCTCTTTTACTAAATATAAGATTGGAGTTGGTTGAGGATAGTACTAAAATAAAAGATTCTGAGATAAGATAAAATTGGGTTCAAATACTAGTTACTTAATTTCTCTGTGATTCAGTTTTCTCTTCTATAAAATAGAAGTACAGAACCAAATACAAGAAGTTATAAATGAGATAGAAGCATGTAAAGCACTTTTGCCCCTAGCCAGGAACTCAAGAAAGGCCCTATATATCTAAATTACTGTTCCTGTTAATCCTGTCCCAAATAAACAACCCAGTGCTGCCAGCTGAGTGAAGGCTGTCCCCAGGGAGACACTGAAGAATCTGCTGACACCAAAGCAGTTGACAATTATAGGAGGTACAGATGATACTCTGTCACCTAAAATCACTCTGAAAATGCTGCCAGAGGCGGCCTGTCAGCTCATGCAGTGAGTTCAAACACACAGTCATTATATTTCCCAAACACAGGCAGGGTGACTTGTTTCCACCCCATACAAGCCACTGCTCCCAAGTATGGACTAGGGAGCCCACCAGCCCTTTATTAAAGCCCAGTCCAGAGACAGAACTGAGCCAGCTCATCACAGTACTGAAGAACCTAAATCACCAGCTATGAAAAAAAGTCTTCAGGACAAAGAATATAGATAAAAATCTTAGATAAAAATCTAAGTAACTGACTCTTAGATTTCAAATTATAGTCGAAAGGATTGTTCAGAGTAATTCTTTCTGAATGTTCTAGATACAATTCATGGCAGACAAAGCTTTGAGAGCTATGACCAAAAGTAAGTTTATGAAACAGCAGAAAGCTAGGAGACTTACAGTGGAATAAAATGAAGAGCACCTCCTCATGACAGTATCTAACATAGGAGAAGACAACACTCCTAAGGTAAAAATCTTGTGTTAAACTTAAAAAATGCACCAGCTTTGTAAGAGATTTACTTTTATAACCATATAATTTTATGATTCTTGAAATTATGTTCTATTGCCACTCTGCCATTATTTCACCTAGGGGCACACTATTTACGTCTAAGATATAGTTTCCTTACTAGTAAATTGAAAGGATTAGACTAGAGACTCCCTATGGTTGTTGTGATCTGTAAAATGTCATGCTCCAAATGAGAAAATAAGACACAATTGCATAGTTATAAAGAACCAAAAGTAAAACAAACCAATGAGTATGCCAGCAGAGGGTATATAAATAATTATATTAACTAGGTTTTCAAGTAATCAATTTCTTAATACAATCCTCAGTGTAACTTTAAAAAGAAGCAGAAGTCCTACTGGTTGGTGTGCTTCCTCTGCTTTCATTAAGTCCTCATAGACTTCTCCGCCTTCATCTTCCCCATAGACACAGTCATAGAGATCTTCTTCATCTTCCACACGAGTTTCACTAAAACAAAGCGGACAATATCATGCAGTAAATACAATAGCTAGTAAGAGCTTCCTCTTAAATTTTAGCATAAAATAGACAAAGTTTTCTACTGATTTTAGTAGAAAATCTAAAGAGGAAGTAAAATGGAATTAGTGCAATGAGGGAAAAGGCTTGCATTATAGCTGTGTCCCTTCTAACAAGACGAATGACAATAGGACTGAACAATGAAAGCAGTGGTAGCTAACATTTACTGGTTATTTACTTTTGAACTAGCACATAAATGATCATTCTGAAGTATTATCTGACTTAATTCATCCAGCAACAACTATCTTATTAGGTATACCTTTGGATTTATTAAACAGATGAGGAAGCCTGGAGACGAAAAGGTTGTCTGACTTGTCAAAGATAACACAACCAGTCCATGGCAAAACTTACATGATCTTACACTCTCAGTGTTTCAATTGCTCCATCACACTGCCCCTCATTTCCCTATTTTTCAAGCTTTCATGAGCACTACTCAAACAGTAACTGAGAGTGGCTCTTCTCAGACCCTCCGGTGAAACCATGAATACAATCAGCCACACTGGCCCAACCATTTGTGCTCTACGACTATGCTGAAGCTTTTCCTTTCAGTTCAAGACTTTCCTAGGTGCCCTCTACTAACTAACAATTCCAAAGAATTAAGATTACCCAATGTACACATGTTGGAAAGAAGTGTTAATATTTCTCAGAAAGAAATTCAACTCCTTCAATACTGCCAGCCCTGGTTACCCCTCCTGAGCCTGGCCAGATGGAACATTATAAATTGATACAAATACACTGTAACTATAAATGTCACTCTACAACTTGGAACATTTTTCAAAGCTGGTACAATCACAGGGTTGCTTATGTTTGTCATGAAGGATTATTTGAAGGTATTTGACAGGTATAAACTGTCAAACACTCAAAGAAAAGGAAGGTGTATTAAGGGACAGAGATTTAGTGGTAACAGAAGTTTCAGAGAACTCTTCTAAGAGAAAAATTCATTTCATGGTTACCTGTCTACCCACCTGTCCACCCAACCATCTAACAGTCATTTGCTAAGAACTGACTCTGTTCCAGGCTCAGAACGTACAGATCAAGAACTCTCTCATTATCTTGTACAAAGAACAGCCCATAAACATAATTCTGTATATGTAACAAAGCAAAAGAATGTAAAATATAGGACCAAAGGAAAGAGCAAACAATAACTCTGACTAAAGAAGTCAGGGGAGGCTACACAGAAGATAATTACATCTGAGCTGGATCTTGAATATATGTATCCATTTATTCATTCAATAAATATTTGCTATGAAAATACTGTCCTCCAGGAGACATGGTTTCAGACTGGACAGACACAATTTCTTCTCTCATGAAAATCAAAGGCACACAGGACTAATACACACCCATGGCGAATGAGAAGGGGATGAGCATGATCATGTGAGGACTAGCACTCCAGCCACTGTGCCCAGGTAGGTAGAATAGACTGCTGGAGAGAAGAGTTGAAGCCAAACTTCAAAGGGCCATGCACTCTGTGAACTCAATCTTACCCTGGGTATTTGGCTATCAACAGGGAGTTTTATATGGGGTAGAATGGAGGAAGAAAATGATAGGCAGGGAGATCAGTAAGCAAACACGTAAAATACTATGAGTGAGAGACATTGAAAGCTGTAACCACTATAAAGGCAGACGAGGAGAGGAATGGAGAAAATTATGATACTGTGTCAACCAGACTTGGTGAAAAGAGAGGGAAGGAATGAAGGATACACTTCAGAATCTGAGGAGATGGGGGCCACATTGGCAGCTCCAGGATTTCCATACTGAAAGGTCCAGGCAGGCAATCTGGCCAGGAAATGGTGGATAGTCAAGTTGGTTTAAGCACTATCTGGAACACATCAAAAGGTAGGCAGGTCTTCTGAGACACTGACGGAGCTAAGATAAGAAATGGTAAAGGAACCAGTTCTGCATGGGAGAGAATCTGTTCAGAAGGAAAATGGACGGCAAATCTATTCTCTGTTACTCTTAGTCCCAGGGATCCTGCCTTTGACTCTTAACACTATCCTTCCAAAATATTCAGTCTTGCCTAAAAACACTTGTGAGCAGAACAAGATAGGAGAAGGCTATAAATTAATAGGCATAAGTGATCATTGGCGGGATTTTAAAAAGAGAAATACCATCATAACACTAGAAATAATAGATTCTTCCTGATAGTTTAAAGAATTTGACAAGACCAATAAGCTTACAGTCACTTTATGAAGATCAGCCAGTTTAATGAGACAATCAGCACCCATCTAGCTTAGTATCAGTGAATTCTTAGATGTTTTAGGAAGAGATAAGAAACCTATCTTAGAGTCAGGGATTTAGCTCAATGGTTCTGCCACTCAAAAGCGCAAGGTCCCAAGTTCGATCCCCAGTACCAAAAGAAAAAAAACAAGAAACCTATCTTAAGAGGTATCTAAAATACAAGATTCAAGGCCATTCCAAATGCCACCTAATACTCTAGAAGGAACTGCTGCACATCTGTCCTGCTGGCTCCTAGCGGTGGACTTCTCCTCCACTCTTCTGGTGAGAGTTCTCAGAGGCCACATTGGGGGGCATCTGAGAGTCAGCAGACTACTATTTACTAACAATGCTAATAAGTAGTTTTAAGTAGCAATAAGCAAATTAGCTTTTCAAAATTTGACTTTTCTCATTACTAAATAACTATAGAAACCTAATAATATTGAAGCATTACATGAGATCATGCATTTAACATGGTTAGCACTGAAATGGGCACTCAGTATGCTCTTACTGCCAACTGACCTCAGGCCTGAAGCAGCATACCTGGCAAGCAGTAGATGCATAATGCAGTTCTGACTTACTCATCCATCCACATATTGACCTACTACACACCAGACACTGAAGTTCTAAAAACACAGCCACAAAGTAAAGTCCCTAATTTCACAAAGTCTGCAGTCTAATGAGGACACAGACAATACATGAAACAAGCCAGATTGTCTCAGGAAGTTGTAAATGCTACAAAAACACAAAGCAAGGTAAAGTGGTGGTGGCAATTTTAAACAAAGTGGTCAGGGAGGGTCTCTCTGTAGAGAGACATCTGAGAAAAGACTTCAGTGGTGGGGGATCAGTCCTATGGAAGACAGATGAAACAGCAAATATAAAGGTCCTAAAATAAGCTCATGCTTAATGTTGAATGGATAAGTGGATGAATTTCCATAGATTCCCTGGGTCACTCTTGGAGTATAGTCTACTTCTTATAATTCTTTGTAAACACACCTCATCTATGTCATCAGTTCCTTGAGTGAGGATCACATCTGATATTCATTTGTAATCATCACAAGTCACTCAATCAGCAGAAGATAATCAACTGCTAAGAAATTCTACCTCTCCTAACTATTAAATAATAAAGACCCCGAGGAATCTCTGTTCAGAATAAATGCCGTCTAATAAATACCTCATCGTTCTTTGAAACTTAGAAAGCACACATTACCTGTCCTACAACTCCAGTCACAGGTTCTATTTCTTTTTAATTATTCCCTAATTGTCTAATGCCTATTTTATCTACTACTTTATTATGCCTTTGAGAAACGTCCAAATTTTATGTGACTGCAATTTGTTTCTTTACCTGTCAAAGAGACACAAGAGAGGAACTGAAAGCCAGCTGCAGTACATGTCTTTCATGGAAGCTTTCTGTCAGAAGTTTAAGGTTAATTCTTACATGTTTTAATCATTAAATCACCTTCACCCTTCAGAGAGCTTATTTTACATGCCCAATTAAGATCCATTCTAGACGTGAAAATTGGCAGAGACAATTTTACTGAAAATGTTCAACGTACTCTATTAAGTCAGGAAGGCCTTTGTAGATGTCTTCATCACTAATGCTTTCTTCTGTCGGAAAAGGCCTAGGAAGGGAGAAAACACATCGGTGAATGAGTAGCAACCAACCTGAACATTTACCTCTCACCAAATGTGAAAGCTTATCTGCTGCCAAAATTGTCACTGACTACGTCTATAGATGTCTGGGGCTTCCCCTACAGTGTCTGCTGAGCAGTTGTGACTGGGCTTCCACCAGAAGGCTGCGACACCTGCTACCCCGAATCATCTACAGCAATCGCAGCTGGCCACCACAGACACATGTGCAGCTGAGGACAAACATGTGTGCTTCCTCGTCCTCCCCTGCCATGAACCTGCAGGGTGACCCCACAGCACCCACTGCAGTGCTCCATCCAGAGAACGAGCAGCCATCCATGTGCCTTTGCTTTCAGCACTTTCTTTTTAGTTACAAAACCTGATAGGACAAATGGCTTAGTAACAATCATCCTTCCATGATTCAGTTCACGAGCACAAATGAAAATTACTAGAAGACAAAACTACATCATGCCCTTAACAGATGATTCTTGGCCCTGACATATTTTTCTACCCATACTTTAAGGTATTTAAGTTGCATTTTTTTATTTTTATTTTTTAGACAAAGGAGTCACATGGACCTCAGAGAGAATAGAGTATTGTTTTTATATTTTTGTCCCCTATTCCAAAAAAAAACCACATTATCTCCTATTTCCATCATCTGGCTTGTCTGCCTCATAATATTATGTACTTTTTTCATAAAAAATATAATACTCCACATTTATTCCTATCAAAGTCACATTTACTATCATGATATATGCTTTACTTTTTCTTGACAGCAAGCATGTCATATGTTCCATAAATGAGGAACCATTAAAATAATTAAAACTTTAAATAATTTCTAAATAGTTAGGTTGTGTTGAAAAATCAGACTTTTATATTGATTACATTAAATTGATTACATACTTAGAACATTTAAAGAATCTAAGTTTATCCAAAAATTCAACATATATGAAAAATGCCAGTTTCAAACTGATTTTTTATGAATTTAGGCACATATTATTATATTTTTACAATAATACTATTAAATCATAATAGAAAATTGTAGTCCATTGTGGAAAATATAGGTAAGAAAAATTAAAAAGAAAAAACAGACATATTTTTTCAGAATCAAAAATACATAACTACATAAAAAAATAACTACATGAAAATCATGTCATGTTTTTCAAAATATACTACTTACAAATAACATAAAATCTACATTGATGTGAAAATATATTCATGTGTTAAGAATCAAATTAGGAGGAGCAGAAGAATGATCCAGACTACAGAGAAGTTCTATGAAAAGCTGCCAAACTCATGGTCCATTTCTCGGAAAGACTTCAGAGCACCTGCTTTGTATGCACAAACTGAGCTGTCTGACCAGTCCTGAGCATTCCTGTAAGATATGCTTGATTTCTCTCCTTTAGACTATGCTATGAGCTGGACCACTAGGAACAAAAAAGGAAGAAGAAGAACAGAAGCAGAGATGCAAGCTTACAGAGCTGCATAATGGCTGTGTACTGGAATAAGGAGCCCTGAGGAAATAAGACAAAGAACATTTCTATGCAGCTTGGCTGTGTTGCTACTGGACTTTATAATACATGTTTATTGACCAATCTAACTTAAGTATGTAGAACTAGGAACAGAAAAGGCCTCAAACAACACACACGTATATCACTATGTTTACCAACTGCATAATACTGCACTTCAAGGAGATGACATAATTTACTTAACTAATTTATTTCTAAGTTTTTAATACATTACCAAACCTTCAATACACATCCTGTACACATACCACTTTATTTTTGCCTGATTTGATTTTTACGTGAAACTTTGTTTTTGTTGGAAGTATAAAAAAATTAAAAACCAGAAACATACCAGTGCTAGTCACCAGTGAATAGAAAGTGATATTTAGCCAACATATCTTATTCAACTCTATGAATCAGTTTTTAGTTGCTCAAGAAATTTCAAAGGTATATTTGGCACCTATATACCACATACTTGCCATGAATGAGACATAGTCTCTAAACACAAGCTGTTGTACAAACAGGAATTATTTAATACATAATCATTACATTGAACTGAATGTGACAGATGAACCACAAAGAAACGAGCTTACCTGATTCCTGTGGCCAATGATATTGGTGTACGAGAGAGCCGTGATAATGTTTCTATAACCTGAGAAGAAAAGAAATATTTATTAGTCATATATGTAAGAGAGGATAAGAGTTTTCCCCTAACCAATAGTTTTCCAATTCAATATTAACAATGGTAGCAAAAAAGAAAATTTTCAGATTTGTGGCTCCCCTGTCAGTGAAGCAGAGACTCGGTGATTCCAAACATCTGGTATCTCTTTGTCTATGGGTTCTGAAAGACCACTAAAGTTGTGTTCTCCAGTAGCACTCACTGGCTACAAGAGACTACATAAATTAAAATTTAAATAACAAAAAATCAGTTCCTTAGTTGTACTAGCCACACTGTAAGTGCTCAAAAGCCACAGAGCTATTTATTGGGCTATATAGGTACCAAATATTTCAATCATCACAGCAAGTTCTATTGGACCACGATACTGTGCAGCCAAGGGGTTTAGAGCACAGGCTCTCGAGCCAGACCACATGAGTTCGAATCCTAGCTTTCCCATTAGTAGCCAGGTAACTCTGGACAAACACATGATTTCTCTGGGCTTCAGTTTCTTCATCTAGATAATACTTTTAATAACAATGAGCATTAAACTATTGTAAGAATTAAATAACATATAAAATACTTAAATAGTAGCAATTCTTTATAACCATTAACTTTAAGGAAATTGCCTCTATTTTCAGAAAAAAATTTCATAAATTACCCTTGATTATCTATTTCAAAGATTCTTTATGAAGATCTTTGGTATCTAAATATAAATTGCCCTGCTACAGTTTTAGCATTAGTACTTAACAATTTTATTCTTTCTTCAATGTTTTGGGGAATAATCTTTTTTACATGAAAATAAAACAAAAGTTCCTAACAAAACAATATAATAATAAAAATAGCTAACACGTGGGGCTGGTGATTTAGCTCAGCAGCACAGCGTCTGCCTGGCAAGTGAGGTCCAGAAATTGATCTCTGGTACCAAAAACAAACCAAAAAAAAAAAAAAGAAAAAAGAATAGCTAACACACTACACACTATACCTAATATCATCTTACTCTAAGACTTTAGTGAGGAAGGCAATGACCTAAAATATAATTTTCTCATAAAATCTATTTTTGTGATAATGAATATAATTTGTCCTAATTTTCAAAATTAAAGAAAACAAAACTTAAAGAGGCTCTACTATATGGTCCATTAAAAATGAGGGGGAAATGCAAAAAGCTCTCAGGGTTGAGGTTTCCTTAGTGCAAAGCAAGATGCACAAAATTAAAGCCTCCAGGCCTCTGGAGAAGCCATGGCAGGAGTATTAGCCACACCTGTACTGACCTCCTGCCTGCTGGGAGAAGGCAGACGCTGCTGTGGTCAGAAACTCATGGCTGGGCAATGAGAACATTAGGGGCTCCGGCCCACCAGCTCCCAACTAAGCTCACCTTTTCCAGCCTCCATAAAGTGTCATTAATAACTGTTAACTGCCTCATAAAGTTCCTGAAAGAATTAAATAACATAATGCCCATCAAATGCTTTTTTCCAATAAATGTGAGCTTTTATTACATAAAATAAGTTACGCAAAAATAAAATTTATTACATGGTGACTATAGATAGTAACAATGTACTGTACTGTATTTTAGAAAATTGTCGACAGAGATTTTAAGCATTCTCACAACAATAAAAATGAAAAGTATGTGAGGTTTTATGTGATAATTAGCACCATTTGACCATATATACATCCACAATGTGTGTGTGTGTATATATATATATATTTCAAAACAGCATGTTTTACACAACAAATTTTAAACAATTTATTTGTCAATATAAAAAATAAATTCAATTTTTAAGTTTCACTAACAAAAGAGAGAAGGGAACAGAATTCCTTAGAATGGTTTCTAAGGGTTAAGTGAATCAAAAGTCATAGTGACTAGATGAGCTGAATTACTGACCTCAAATTCAATATTCTAACACCGGCTTTTGCTGTGATGTGGGGGTGTAATTAAAGACCTTTATATAATCTCTTCCTGGATAACTGTGCTAAACATCTGGTATCAAGGCAAGATGTGACCACTCAGACAAAACTGGTATGAATTAAATCCCCAAAATAAAGGGAAAGCAATTTTAGTGAGTCTGTAAAATCAGATCACAAATTATCAAATGCTAAAAAATTAATCAAAATAAACTGATTCAAAATAAAAAATAACCACTTCCCAGAATTCTAAAATTATGTACATTGGATGAAAAGGCTAGCTTTGGGAAGATTCTGGAATAATCTATGGAACAGGATTAAACCCTTGCACTAATTCTATTACTGAATCTTAGCATGCATCCTATCCTGTTGTAGCAATGTTACAAAGTTACAAGGTAAGATCTGCCTCTAGTTCTCTTTTACATTGTGGTTCCCACACTATTACTACTTAATAACAAAGAAAACAGTAATAGCAGAACTATCATCATGCATATTATCGCTTTTATTTAATAACGATGTATTTATTTTCTATAAAATGATGCATTTACAAAATAAAATGCATTTTCTGTCCCTTTTTTCCACTAAAACCCAGAAAAACTACAACCTGTGCTCTACCCAACTAGTCCCCAAAATGGGGAAGTGGGGGGAAATTGCTAAATATTTTACATAAATGTCCACCAGGGGGAGCCAGTCGATAGTACATTAATATAGTCTTGATGAATGTATTTCTAAATGCAAATATTTCTGAAAATCAACAAGCCAAAACCAACTCCCAGTATTTATCTAACAAGGGCTATTTGTTACAATTATGTGATAGGAAGAAAACAAGAGGGATGGAAGTATAACAAAAATGAATCTTTCTGAGCACTATCACCTGGTTTTATGTCTCTTATTCATTAACTGTAAGTTTAGCCAAAGCGAATAAAGACTCTTTAGTTAACGTAGTGTTTTTGGAACAACATGTATTTTTAAGAAGCAGGCTATATCTGGATTTGGAATAGACAAGTAAAAAATTAATGGCAGATTCTCAAATCCTGTGTGTGGAGATTGGCCTGTCATTCCAAATATCCATTCAAAAACTATTACAAAATAAAACATTCCAAAGATACAAAAAAGATTATTTTTCTCTGCAATGGACTAATTTCTGAGTTGTTAAAAATAAAAGGAAATTAGGGACATTAACTCCCAGAAGGAAGGTAAGTTAGTGAGACTATCTGCAAGTTAATAAATTAATAATCAACTATACTAAACCCACAGCACAGATTTTCTGTCATTACCTCCTCCTCCCTTGCTAGGTAAGAAGACTGGCATTTAGAAAACCATGAAGATCATTCTTGGTAACATAATTAACAGGGATTGTGTGAGCAAGGCTTCTCACATCTGCTTTAGAAGAGTAGGGAGAAGCAATAAAGGATGAGAAAGTTTAGGAAAGGAAATAAGGTCTACACTGCATTTTTAAAGAGGCACTTGGGAGAGTGAAGGACAGACTGGGGTAGGGGGATGTGGGGAGCAGGCAGTGGTCTGGAGACAAGTAAGGGTTTTGCTCAATGGTCCAAGTGAGAACTGGGATGTGTGAACTGAAACAGCAGCAGGTAAAGAGTGAAAGTCTGAGAAGCCCTTGGGAGGGTGCCAGGACCACTGTGCATGCAGGTGAAGGAGCAAGAGGAACCCATGGGGACCAGGGCAGGCTGCTTAAGGGCTCCCCCGGAAGGCTGGGGATGCTGCTGAGCAGGGTGCTCCTGTTCTGCATTCCCTTGCATGGCCTACAGGCTCATCCTGAGGCTCAGCAAGGCCATCTTCTCCTCCAGGGAACCAACCTTTCCTGACCTTCTCTCACCCCAGTCTGGGTCCTGTGTGTCTCCACAGAACCAGAACATAAGTGCCCTATCTTTATTTAAAATAAAATTTGACTTTTTAAAGTATTTCAAAACAAGTCACGTATATTTTGTCACACTGAAGTAAAACAGTAACATATAAAAATTGCACCTCTCCTACCTCTCCAACCTTCTGGCCAAAGGGGACCACAATGAAGTGTCTGGTGTGATCCTTACAAAAATTTTGCCATTTTCCTGTCAATGAGCTGTTTCAACATTTTGCTGCAAAACCTGCAATTACCCATCCTTGCCAAACATCTTTTCAAGCATTGGTATAGAAAGATTCTTAAAGATTATGACCATGAGTAGTGTCATGAGTAGGTGTGACATGTGCTCTCCCCACGGGACTGGGGGAAGCTATGTATTCTTGAAGAGTGTAGAAGAACACACATGGCATTCTGTGATCTGTTCATTTGTCTGTCTTTCCAACAATGCCAAACACCTAAGGACGGGGACACCAAACTTCTTTCCATCACTCAGTTCACAGCCAAACTCACTTATCACAAAAATATTTGTTGCTGAATAAATAACATTTGCCTTGCAAAATAGTTATGAGGAGTAGGGATAGTATCTATCAAAATGTGTAAAGAGCTTAGCCTGGCACAAGTGAGAAAGGAATGAATAACTGAAGGAAGCATTATGAAAATTAAACATGGGAAACTGTTACCTATCTCCTCAAACTAGGAGCAAACTAGAGCCTCTCTATCAAACTTTTTCCCTCTAATGATGAGTTTTATTTTTGGAGCTCTATTTTTACCATCCTATTATTCAGTTTTGAAACTACTGATGAATACAGAATGCAATATTTTACACTGATTAAATCTACCCATTTTTATTCTGTTCATGAGACTGCTGAAAACTTTCCACTCCCTGCTTATCTGACACATTAGTGCTGTTTACATCGTAGTTTATAACTAAAACAAGTCATCCATGCAGAAGTAGTATGTCATAGCTGCTTGTAGGGTCCTGAGTTAAGGAAACCACAACCATAAAGAATAACCAGAAAGAACCATGGGGACCAACATGCAGATCTACAGAGTTGCTGACTAATTACAGAAGTAACTCCTTGAGCTCTCTACTCTGAAGTTTTACCCAGATCCTGACCTGAAGGAAGGTTAGCTCATGTGAAGATTCTTCAACAAGGACCCAGGTTCTATAGGAGCTCCTGGGAAATTACCTGTAAGAGAGGGAGGTTCTGCCAGAGCAATTATGTGGCTATAG